AAAGTTAAACACTAGTCCATCGTATCTCTCTCTTCAGCTGAGGTAGAATACAAGGCTCTTGCTCAGGGGCAGAGACAGAAAATGATGTTAGGATGGGCTGAAACTTAAAAATTTTTTAATGAACTTACGCCACAAGAAATCGGTTTCGGAGGCTATTCTTGTGGCATTCACAATGAAAAGTATACGACACTCAATGAAAAAAAAAAAAAAAAGTTTAGATGTCTCACATTAATATATTTTACTAAATCTTTGTATTTTTTTACCAAACGCTTACTTTAAAAAATATAAATTAACTGAATCATGATAGAAATAAACAAATGAAAAATTTTAAAAATACTGAATAAGTACTCTTCTAATAACTTTTACAACCAATCTTTTCGTACAATTGAAACTTGATTGAAACATGCAATCAATAATATATCACTATAATCCATATGTTATTGTCTCAAAATGTTATTTGGCGTTTTCATCGATCTTCTATATCATTGCATTTCAAAGTGAGTGAAGAATCTCAATCAAAGTAAGAAAAGCCAATTAAGAATTTCGAGGGTTAAAGAATTAAATTTAATTCACGTCCATTTTCTACTCGATTTCAAGAATATACTCGTATCTATATTACTTCATAAATAGATAAATTTTATCAAATATTCTTTTATTGTCAATATCAAATCTATAGTAAGTTATTTATTTTAATCATAATATCTATTTTATGGTCAAAATAAGTAATTTTTTTAAATAAATATGAATAAATAATAAATAAAAACAAACGCAGAAATAAAAAATAATAATTACTTTTAAATTTTGAAAAATATGTAGTGCCTCTAACTATTAAAATAAGTAATTTACTTTTAAATTTAATCAATACAAATTATCTACAATAAAATTTACTTAATAATTATAAGTAAATTTTAGTCAAACATACATTAAATAGAATATCTAATTTGACAATAAAATATTCACATTTTATGAATTTCATGAAACGAGTAATTAATAATTAGTGTTTTTATACAATTTAAATAATTGAACATTGGACTTGGATTAAGATTCAAGCTAGAGTTGGACTAATGCTAATATTTGGGCCAAAACTCTACACTTTCTTCTTAATTTTTTATATTTGTGGAGTAGTGGGCTAATGCAAACATTTGGGCAAAAACTCTACACTTTCTTCTTAATTTTTTATATGGGCTGGGGGAATAGTGCTGGGCTACAGCCCAGCATTCTCCCCCCCCCCCCAAACTACCTCCGTCCATGCTCTTACTGCTACCATTAGTGAAGTCATTTGGATCAACAAATTACTAAAGGGCTTTCAAATTTGTGCAGCATCCCCAGCAATTCTCTTTTGTGACAACCAAGCTGCAATTTAGATTGCAAACAATCCCAATTTGCATGAAAGGACGAAACACATTGAAATTGATCTTCATTTCATTCACGACAAGATTAATGCTGGTGTTGTCAAGTTATTGACAGTTCATTCGCAGTATCAGCTGGCAGATGCCTTCACCAAATCCCTTCCAGCTATGGTTTTTCTTCCATTGTTATCCAAGAAGTATGTAAAAAACATTTACATTCCATCATGGGGGCGTATTAGAAGTTGTTTTTTGTTTTCCAGCTGGCAGCTCCAGTTGTCAGTTAGTTAATCTGGCTAGAAGTTAGTTAGTTAATTAGTTCTTTTCATTTTGGCGCCAACTTTGGTTGCTATTTATACATCTTTTGTACATGCATTTTCTGGTAAGTTTGATCGATAACAAACTGGAGATTGCATTTCGCATCTTCTTCCTATCCATCTAATACATTCCATGAATAGTCGGGACATTGAAGGATTTCTAAGACCCATTTTTAACAATCTGTCGAGTCTGTATATCTACTCCTAAATGCTATTTATGTGCATTGATCATTTGAACCTAAAGTGCAACTTCTGGTGAAAAAGTGATGTATATACTATATATATGAACTATATTCATCGAAGATTTTAGAGATTAATGTACCTCAGGTTGCAGATAATAACAGATTTTCATTCAATGCCCCTTGAGGAATTTATACAAATGCACTTGAAATATTCAACGTAGACATGAATATCGAATATGCTAATGAACTAGAAGAAATTAAGAATGTTGTTCCTTTTTTGGTCTGAAATTCGAGATTTGAGAGAAAATGTGATTATATATAATGTGTGGCATAGTTACACACAGAAACACACGTGAATGTGTGCAGACAGTGTTGTTTGTGGGCTTTGAACATAATGTATTTTAGTAAATTCTAAATCTTGACTACAGCAAAGCATTTTCTTGATATTAAAATCTATTGTGGTAACCCTGCAGCATAGCATGGGTATCTGTAGATGGAGTTTTGGAGTTTTATATGTTTGCCCATGTCAGTGAATAAAGGAAAATGTCTTCTTTTCCCACTCGCACCTTAAACTCCACGACGTCGCACGTGAGTCTGAACAAGCAGCCATTGATGAATGATGATGGTACTTTTGAATCGATCATAAATTTTTGAAAAGAGGTATAGATGTTAGTTTGATGCCCATTTTTCGAGTAATGTTCTGTAAAATCACATTATGAATTTATGAAGTGATTGTTTAAGATTACATGATCATAAATGACGTCACAAATTGTATACTCGATGGATCGGATATAGTAAGACACAATTTGTGATGTGATCAAAATTATGTCGTTCACAATCGGTTCATAAAATTGGACGATTTATGTTGATAAGATTGTATTGTTCTTATTAAGATTTGTCTAGATCTTGAAATATGAATAATAATGTGTTTCGATGCACATTGAACAGGACCGCGTAGATGACTCATTTGTGACCATTTGAAATGAGACTCTACTTGATTATCAAACAGCTAACCTAAATCCTAAGCGAGTAATGTACATTTGATTGCTAGTTCAAGTTCTTTGAGGTACCAATGAGTGAAGTCTTAAATAGAAGATTGATCTCGGTGTTTTGGGAATCGGGCCGAAATAATTAGAGATCATATACTTACAATATTGGAATCCATTAATCATTGAGATGAGACGATCGTCACTCTAAGATATTTTTCTAGGCAAATTGAATTTGAACTCAGTAGGTTGACGATGAGATCGTTGGACTTTACATTGTGATTTGATCACAACGAATTTGCCAGTATGAAAATGGGACTTAGAGGGTAATGCATATTGAAGGACAAAACGGTCATTTTGCCAGTTTCAACATATTGACGGTCAAATGGGGGTTGACTTGTAGAACGATAATCAGAGGATATTGTTATTGGATCATAATTTGCTTTTATAACTATCACTCGACTTGAGAGTGCAATCTCGATTTTTTGGTAGAATAAGTCGAGATTAATAGATGTACCTCAATTGGTCAAGAGTTGACCCAATTGAAAACATCTATTGGAGTTTGAGTCATGTGAGTCCAATTAGGTCCCTCTCTTGACTCCAATAGAAGGTGTGTGACTTAATTGGCCTATTACAATAAAGTCTAAGGAAATTTGTGTAATTTCCAAACCATAATAAGTCATTATAAATATGCACATTATTGACATATTTTGGTGTGATTTTAGGGTTAGTCACTTTTCACATTCCCCAAAAAGGAATAACACCTAGTGGAGAACAAGGGAGATGATATAAGGGAGGAAGCAATTGGTTAGACCATTAATAGCTCCTTCAAAAAGGTTATCTCCTCCCCTTTCTATATATGTGAGGATTTAATAATCCAATGATCTCAAGGTCGATTAAATCCTTATTTACATGATTTTAATCTTCAAAAGAAAATTAATTTCCTATTGTGATGATTAAAGTTCATTAACCAACAATAGAATGATTTTAGCTTACGAGTAATGAGCCGTTTGGCCAAAACCCCGTCCTGCCCCACCTTAGATGGGGCAGCGCGGGGTGGGTGGGGACGGGACAACTTTTTGCCTGGTTTAATTTTTTTTTTTTTTTTTTTTTTTTTTTTTTTTTTTTTTTTTTTAATTTTTTAAAAAAAAAAAAAAAAAAAACATCCATTTTTTTGTGTGCTTGCTTTCTTTTGATTACGTTTTTTTTGGGAGTTATTATCCTATTAATAGTGTTTGTTTTTTTTTTTACATTTTGAAAGTTTCAAATTATGTTATTATTAGAGAATAAAATACAAATTCAAAATGAGTTTTTAACGGATAAATTGTCTAGAAATAACATTATTTTTAATTTTTAATTTTTTTACTTTTTCTTCACGGGGCGGGGCATTCTCGCCCCGCCTCGCCAACTCATTCGGGGCAAGTGTTTTTGCTCCATTCGGGGCGGGGCAGGGCAAATTATCCCTAGTCTCTCCTAATATGAGTTTTCAACGTATGGAATTTGAGGTAAATAAATTTTAGAAAAGTTTTATCCAATTAATTGCACCTATTGGATATATTCTTTGACTGCATAACAAACGTTAAAATACTTTCAATTTGAAACATCAGAAAGTTTAGGGACTGGTTTTAATGTTCAGAAAGTTTGGGGACTGAATTTTATGAGATTAAATTTCCCGGACCAAGTTGAACAATTGGAATAGTTCGGGGGCTGAATTTGAACTCAATAAAAGGCAATGGCAAGTGTTCGAAATGCCGAAATTTCTGATATGCAAATGTCTGAGAAGTCAGGAACTGCTTTGGGGGCAAATTTGCAAACTACAAAAACTCGATGGGTTGTTTTGCAACATTTAGATGAGAATGACGATCCCTTTACAAATTATTTTGTCATCTAAATTCAAATTTTTTGTCTTTCTAAAATAGACACAAGTTTTTCATAAGATATGCCTAGTATATTTGAACAATGCTACAAGTACAGCAATTTTGACATCATGGTTGACATCTCTCTCACATACAAGAGGTGGGGCCAGGATTAAAATAATCGCAGGCACAATGACTGTGAGAGTATTGTATGTGCACAGGGCATTTTTTATTATATTTAGCAGTTGATCTTAGTAATTGTCTAATCTTGATCACACTAATTAATAATTAAATTTAGCAGTTAACCTGTACATATATCCAAAAGAACATGGCTTAATAAGACATTTGTTCATCATCTCTACTTAATTATTACAAGCCTCTCAACCTTAAGATAATCCAATTATTGAAGACATTCACGTTCCACTCACAATATTTGGTGTAACATTCAAACTTTCACTAGGCATACAAAAAGACCATGCAAGAACATTTAATTTCTAAGGATTGGATACAAGGTACCCAGAATCATAACTCGTGATCAAAAGGAAAATTTGATCAATAATTTACTGGTCACTCATTAAAGCATCTCCATGTTCTTGACATCTGTCGAAAAAGCTTTTGGTTCGACAATTCATACCGAGCCCGATTACTACTTGACGCGCCTCCGGTTATTGTGCTCGTGTTTATGCCTGTCTCTCTGGCCAAATTTTCAATCTCTTCTCCACTTTCGATTATTCGATCAAAGCAAATGTACCTGCCGGATGCTGTTTTCTTCATCCCCTCGAATATGCAAACATGTGCCTCTGCTAATCTATTTACGTCGACAGTTGCTAGCAAGCCATCTGCAAACATATCTTGAACACCTTTGAGATAAGCAACTGTAGATGTTGGACTCCGTCGGTAGAAATCTGGCCCGGTGATAAGCCCGGGACAAATGGTGGCCAGCTTAACCCCGCTTTCCTTGGCAACTTCCCATGCAGATTTTTCTGCCCTCAATTTCCCCAAAGCACACCAGAGCTGAAAATTTCAGAGAAAATTGGATTAGACTACGTTATATCTGACCAATCTCGCTTACATTTGTTGGATTTTATGCGCAATATTAAAGAGATAAAACGAAAATCAACACAAGAATTTTACTTGGTTCAGTGATGTGCCTACGTCCACGAGAGCGAAACGGAGATTTCTTTATTCAATTGTTAAAAATAGGGTTACAACATATTATTTATACTAACCCTAACCTGGGTTCACATAAGACTTTAAGGCCCGAACAAAAAATACCCATGTACTGTACCGCGGGGGCGTTGCCCCCACACCCCCAACCCATTCAACGTCTCTAACAACCAGATAGTGAATTAAACCCACACAAAATCGATGCCGTCACTCCGTTTCGTTCCATTCGATACGCTCTGCGCCGGCATCGCCCCATTTGATCCAAGACCTGTATTCCACTCTATATGAGCCACATGCACAACAAATCTCCACCTTGGCGAATATTCACCCCTTAGGAGAAAAAACATAACTTGGAAAAAACTACACCATCTAAGACCAATGGGTTAGGACACATTCTCTCTAACAGCTAAAGATGTTAATCAAGTTCAAGCAATGCTTGAACCTATCCATTGTAATCGGCTTTGTCATCATGTCTGCTGCATTCTCTGATGTATGCACCTTCTCTAACAACAGCTCTCCTGAAGTAACCAACTCTCTTATCTTATGAAATCTCATATCAATGTGCTTGGTTCTTGCATGATAAATCTGATTCTTAGCTAGGAAGATGGTGCTCTGATTATCACAGTACAGCTTCATTCCATCTTGCTTGATCCCAAGTTCCCTGACAAGCCCTTTCAACCACAATAATTCCTTGGTTGCCTCAGTTGCCGCCATGTACTCTACTTTAGTTGTAGATAATGCTACAAGTGATTGCACCATTGACCTCCAACGTATGGGCCTACCTGAGAGTGTGAAAACATAACCTGTATGGGACCTTATGTCATCCAAGTCCCCTGCATAATCTGTATCTACATATCCTTGAACTGAAATATCACCATGTTCTCTCAAACATGATCCCGCACTCCATTGCACATTTCAAGTACTTGAAAATCCACTTTACAGCTCTCCAATGCTCTCTACCAAAATTAGGCATATACTTACTAACAACACTGACTGCATGTGCCAAATCTGATCTGATACACACTATTGCATACATCAAACATCCAACTGCGCTGGCCTAAGTTACCTTTGACATCTTTGCAACATCTTCTTCACTCTTTGGACACTGATTATTAGACAATTTGAAGTGATTTGCAAGTGGTGTGGCAACTGATTTTGCATCTGACATGCTAAACCTCTCTAGCACTTCAAATAATTTTTCTGAGAAACACCCATAATTTTATAGCTTTCTTATCTCTGTTGATCTCCATGCCAAGAATTTTCTTAGTCGGTCCCAAGTCTTTCATATCAAATTTACTGTTCAACAAAGATTTCAATTTGTCTACCTCATCCATGTTTTTAATAGCAATTAACATGTCGTTCACATACAATATCAAGAAAATATATGAGTTATCTTCAAGAACTCTGTAATAAACGCAACAATCATATTCACAACGACTGTAGCCAATCTGAATCATATGAGAGTCGAACTTCTTGTATCATTGCCGTGGAGACTGCTTAAGCCCATATAAAGACTTCTTCAATTTACACACAAGATTCTCTATTCCTGGTTCCAAAAACCCTTCTAGCTGCTCCATGAAAATCTGTTCCTCCAAATCACCATGAAGGAAACCAGTCTTCACATCTAGTTGCTCTAACTCCAAATCAAAATTAGCCACCATTGTCAAAACAATTCTGATGGAAGTGTGTCTGACGACCGGAGAGAAAATTTCATCATAATCTACTCCCTTCCTCTGTGAGTATCCCTTTGCTATTAGTCGAGCCTTGCATCTTTCTCCTTCCTTTTCTGACATTGCTTCTTTCTTTCTAGACACCCACTTACACCCCATCTGTTTCTTTCCCTCTGGAAGCTCCACCAAATCCCAAGTATCATTTTTATGCAGTGACTCAATTTCCTCCGTTATAGCCTCTATCCATTTACCTTTCTCCTGACTACCAATGGCATCCTGAAAAGTTAGAGGATCGCTATTACTAGTAATGAGTGCATAAGAAACCGAATCCTCGAATCCATACTTTGCTGGTGGCTTGGTCGTGCGACGTGGTTTATCTAAGGCAACACTATAATACTGCTCCACCTCTGACCCAGAACTATTTGCTCCCTGAGCATTAATTTCTGTGTTTACATTGTCTAGCTCTACTTGTACCACTTGGCTCTTACCTCTGTACTCGTCTAAATTGAGCTTCTCTTTATCTGTAGAAGCTTTAAGCATGAATGCTTCATCAAATACTGCATCCCTACTTATCATCATCTTCCTTGCTTATGGATCCAAAAACTTGTATCCTTTTACACCTTTAACATAGCCTAGAAAAATGCATTTTCTTGATTTCGGATCAAGTTTGGATCGCTGATCACTAGATACATGCACATACGCCGGACAACCAAACACTCTCAATTCAGAATAATCAACTTCATTACATGTCTAAACTTCGTCTGCAACTTTTCCATCTAGTGCTGTTCGTGGTGATCTGTTTATAACATAACATGCCATGTTTACTGCTTCTGCCCAAAAACTCTTCGAGAGCCCTGCATTCAGCCTCAAATATCTTGCCCGTTCTGCAATTGTTCTATTCATCATTTTCACAACACCATTTTGTTGCGGTGTCTTGCGAACTGTATAGTGCCGCTGAATACCATGCTCCTCACAAAATCTCAGAAATTGTGAATCTGTATACTCTGTACCGTTATCTGTCCTCAGATACTTAATTTTTTTGCTCATCTGGTTCTCTACTTCTGCTTTCCATAATTTGAATTTGGCAAAAACTTCAGACTTGTGCTTCATGAAATATACCCAAACTTTTCTAGAGAAGTCATCAATGAATGTAATAAAATACTGAGATCCACCTTTGGACAACTCCCTCACTGGTCCCCAAACATCTGAGTGCACGTAATCAAGAATTTCCTCTGTCTTGTGCTTTCCCATCTTGAACTGTACTCTAAACTGTTTTTCAAGTACACAGAACTTGCAGAAATTCAGCTTGCATAATTTTACCCCCTTCAACAAATTCCTCTTGTGAAGCTCAAGAATGCCACGTTCTCCTATATGCTCCAGTCGCAGAGTGTCATCTGACTCAGATTCTGCTGTAGCAACTCCACCTACAACTGTATCTCCGAGTAGTTTGTAGATATTCCCTACTAATTTCTGACCCTTCATCACAATCATAGCCCCTTTCTTCACTGTTAGAGCCCCACACTCTGACTTATAAGAGTAGCCGTTTATGTCTAAAGTGCCTAAAGAAATTAGATTATTTTTCAACTCAGGTACATGCCTAACATTTTCCTAGGTCTTTATCACACCATTGAACATTTTAAATTTTATGGACGCCATTCCAATGAACTCACATGATGCATCATTACCCATCAAAACAGATCCAAAATTACCAGAACGATATGAATGAAATCAATCCCGATGATGACACATGTGATATGAACAAGCTGAATCAAGTACCCAACAGTCATTTAATTTTATAGAATTACGTGCAGAGACTGATAACATGTCTCCATCTCTAGAATTCGAGTCTCCTTCTACAACACTAGCTGAATTTTAGGACCCATCACATTTCCTTTCATCACTCTGCTTCTTATTGGGACAGTCTCTCTTAAAGTGGCCCATCTGATGGCATTTGTAGCACTTGACATTTTTCTTATTTTGATTCTGTGTTTCCTCTAAAAGAAACACCCCTGTCCTTCCTTCTCTCACGATCCTGGTAGCCCTTTACGATCAACCCTTCACCCTATGAAGTTTCACCAGTACGCAGTTTCCACTGGTTGTAGGCTAACATGGCTGATGTGACTTCCTCCAATTCGAGAGTCGCTTTACCCCACGTCAACGTGGTCACCAGATGGTCGTACGAAGGAGGAAGCGAGTACAACAAAATCATTGCATTTTCTTCATCATCAAACTTGATTTCAAGTCACAATAGATCGCTGATAATTTGATTGAGCACATTGGTGTGTTGAATCAGATCCGTACCCTCCAACATCTTCAGCCTATACAGCCACTGCTTTAGATGCAGCTTGTTCGTGAGAGACTTTGACATATAACGACTCTCCAATTTCTCCCAAACCTCTGTCGGAGACTCAACTTCCATGACGTGATACATGATTTCGTCCACCAAACAAAGACGAATTGTACCAACTGCTCGTGCCTCGAGCTCTTCTCAATCGGCATCTGACGTACCCTTTGGTTTCTTCCCAGATAGTGCCTTCACCATCCCTTGCTGTGCCAACAAATCGTTCACCCTTCACTGCCATAAACCGAAGTTCCCAGATCCGTCAAACTTCATCACATCAAATTTTGCAATCGAAGAACTCGCCATCCAAACCTAACTCTGATACCAGTTGTTGGATTTTATGTGCAATATTGAAGAGATGAAAACGAAAATCAACACAAGAATTTTACGTGGTTCAGCGATGTGCCTACGTCCACGAGAGTGAAGCGGAGATTTCTTTATTCAGTTGTTAAAAATAGGGTTACAACATATTATTTATACTAACCCTAATTTGGGCCCATATAAGACTTTAAGACCCGTACAGAAAATACCCTTGTACCGTACCGCGGGGGCAACAAACCAAACAGTGAATTAAACCCACGTCGTCATCGGCCCATTTCATTCAGGACCTGTGTTCCACTTTATACGAGCCACATGCACAACAACATTTTAGATAAATCGGATCATTTACTGGAGAAACTAGCTTGTTTTCGAAGGATTACCTTTCTGTTTAGGCAGAAGGATTCATCGCTCCAGCAGCTATGGTCAATAAGGGACGGGAGTCCATCACGAGAGTTATCTCGCCAAATACAGGTCAAAAGTGAGGATGTGAGTAAACAATTTCTAACAGAAGGTGTAATCGCGCATGCCTCTACAACATTTTTACTTGCATTCACTTCGATATCAGCCATAGCTTTCTGGAAAACGTAAAACTTGCATAATGACTGTGTTCCTCAAAAAGAAAGAGAATAAAACTAATTGCAGTACAAATTAAAATGATAAGGATATTTTATTTGATTAAGAGTGGAAACTGGAAACAAAACCTCTTAAGTTCATTGAGCTGGAAAACTGTAAACAGGTATAAAGTGGTTCATTCACTTCAAAAATTGGAAATTTGCAGTCACCATATAAAATTGACTATGCGTCACACACTCCAACACTAGTCACATCGTAAAATGAACAATTAGTGCTGCTACCATATTATTTACATGTTGAACAAGCCATATCGCAGGGTAGCATATTATCATAACAACCGGTAATACTATCTCAAATGACATCCGCCAGGTACCGTAACTTTCTTTTGTCCATCTTGTTATCTGTCATCTCATCTCTAGGGGTTAGTATCTGTTAGTATAAAACCATTTAATCAAGAAATGCTTAAACTACTAAGAGAAGGAAATATTTATTTGTTTATATTTTCACAAAAACAAGCCATCTCATCAAATGCCACACGTTAAATTTTCAAACGCGAGGCATTCGAGGGCAGATCCAGGAAAAATTTTAAGGGCTAATACGCAAGAAAAAAAATTTACACAAAAATAAGTGGTTTTTACTTGTTTTATTTTATTTTTATTTTTTTTAAAGGTGAATCCCCCCTAGATCTGCCAATGGAGACAGTTGCTTGCTCCCTAGTCCATAATAACCATCTTATGTAGAAGTTCAAAATTTATGTTTTGTCCTATACAGTTAGAAACCAATAGAACAAAATTTTGTCGACAACTCAGCACCAAACGCTCATCAATTATTGCAAGAAGCAAATGATGAGAAAGGGAGAACATTCTAGTTTCTACACATTGTCATCAAATAGGCATATGCCACTGATTATTCAGGCTTTCAAATTATGACCTTAAGCTCACTTTGATTAACAAAATCACATCATATGAGACCATTTGAGTTATAGTTAAAGCAGCACTCCATCACAATTCAATAATTAGAAATGAGCATTTCATCATATTCCATTAAACACGAGGGAAGGCATCAAGACTGATTGGCAAGCTGTCAATGGAGAAAACAAAATGACGAAAGGAACAAGCACTCACCGAATAGCCAGATAACCCAGAAGGGTCAATGAAGCCAGCGGTGTGAAACACGCCACGGCAACCATCAAACGCATTGGCCAAGCTTTCAATTTCAGTCAGCTTAGCCATGACTATTTCAATAATACTATTTGTAAGTCTCATTTCACCAGATATTTCCATCTCACCCAGCTTCGCTACATCTTCTGCATTTCCAATTCAACACTAATCATTCATTGCATCACAATGGAGGGAAATCAAATCCTAAAAGGTAAAATCCACAGTGATTTTTCAAATTGACATCTCAAAGATTGTATTTCAAAAAGGGTAATTACATTACCACCAAAAAATTTAATTATTACACCACAATTAAAATATATTTTCAATAAATACACCACAACAAATTTATAATTATGCTTCAATACAAAAAAACTAAAAATAAAATACAATATTGCGGTGTACTCATCCCCCAATATACTTCATCTTTATTTTAATTTTTCATAGAATATGTTTTTCTCATTCCGCTTTTCATCTCCATCCGTGTTGATACATTTCAAGTTTTTCATTATTCACCCCCAATAATTTAACTGCAACATATATGGCTCAAGTATACTGCCCATTTATCCCCAATAATTAGTTTCCATAATTTTTTTCCCCAAGACTTCTCTGAATTTTTAAATCATTGACTTCAAATGTAGCATGCCAATTTTCTCCAAGTAAGTGTAACCAAACCCCAATAATTCATCTTTACAATTTTAATGAAGTGTTGGTGTTTTTCAACTTCTTTAATTATTTATTATTATTATTATTATTATTATTTTTTTTTTTTTTTTTTTTTTTTTTTTTTTTTTTTTTTTTTTTTTTTTTTGGTGGATGAATCTTTAGTAATTTTCTTCCAGCAAATACATTATGGTGGCGGTGGTGCCTCTGCGTCGGAAGCGTAGGCGGCATAAGAAAGAGGGGATCCTTTATTTATTCTAATTAATTCTCAATTCATGAAACCACCAGATTAACAAACAAACAAAAAGCATGGAATAACACCATATAGTATAAATATATTTAGGGTCCGTTTGGTAAGGATTTTGAGAATTGATTTTTTGATCGTTAGAAGAAAAGTGGGGTCCACATGTGAGAGAAGAAGTCAAAAATTACGGCTTGAATAGTAAAATAACGGTCAAAAAATCAATTTTTGGGGGCAAAAAATCCCTACCAAACGGGACCTTAGTGTGAGGAAAGGAAAATTATCATGGAAGAAAGCAAAAGTCACTGTGGATGGAAAAGCCATGCATTAAGATTTTTATTTAGGGTGGAACAATAATTTATTTTAGGCTAATTATATATTAAACTCTAATCATGTTATTTTACTTAAAGCCATTGAAGTAAATAAAAAAAATATTAAAAATTGTGGTGTAGTAATTAAAATTTATAATGGTAATATAATTATTCATTAAGAAAACGTGTAAAGCATACTAATGAAAAGGATATGTTGGACCCATATGACTGCAGCTATAAATTAATCAAGTTGATGTTGCCAGTAAACAAAAAAGGGTTAATCAGTAATTAATTTAAATAAAGTATTTTTCACGAAATTGTGAACATAAAGAAACGTGTCTAGATATAATTATTTAAGTACGAATCACTGACAACGTGGGACCACCGGCGTGAAAAACTAATAAAATAAGGCGGCGGGGCCAGTTATACTAACTAAAAATTGCAAAATAAATGGGTGATATACCAAAATAAGCTTTCTAGAAGGTTACAAGAAAGAGAGACTTATTCTACCCAAGCGTCAATTAAAATCTAATAGAACTTTAAAAAAAAATTAAAAAAATTAATTAAATTAAGAAACTATTCAACACATCAGAAAATTATTTTCTATTTTTTCCATTATCCGCAGGAAATGATGGCCAAGATAATCCACTGAATGCAGATAATTATCAAAATAGATGAAATTCAAGAAGCAATAGTAAGTAGTAACCGAAAAAAGTAATCGTCAAAGCACAAGTGAAGTAATTCTAGAACCAGACCTTCATTGTCAACAATAATCCGCACAGAGTAGCCATGGACAAGGAGCTGTTTCACAACAGCAATACCGAGGTACGATACACCGCTGGTGACACAAACTAACTTCTCGAGTACGTCGCCGTTTCCAGCTCCGACAGGATCTCTGTCTCTTAAATCGTCACCGTCCTTTCTCCGGTGACCGGCGGCACAAGACAGCAGCATACGACGGAACTCGTCGATCTCCGCATTCTCAGTCTCGTGCAATCGCAGAATCCCCATTGCAGCAGCTTGACGCGGTAGAGGAAGTTGTTAGTAGAAGGTTAAGTTGGAATTTTAATCGGGCATCATGCTTAATAAGCCTCGTCTTTTATGTCTGTTGACGCCCGAAGATGGCTTGGCTTGTAATCAGCTTGGAGGACATTATGTTAGTCTTTTACTTTTTAATTCATTTCCAATTATTAATCAATGAACTTCCATTTTAATTTATGGATTATTATATCTCTTGATTTTAATTATATATTTTTTAATAAAATAATATTACACATAAATTCATTCTTTTTTTTTAAATAACATATTCTTCTAAAAATTAATAACTGAACCCGAAATTTTCGGACATTTAGTAAGTAGAACCGTTGGTTCAAATTTAATTATAGAATCGTTTATGTTCGATACGATTTCAAAGTTCCGTATTGTAATTAAATTTTTTAATATTTAAAAAATACATTAATTCAATTAATGATATGTTCAATTTTAACTCTTATAAAATAACGTAGTGCAATTTTATATGTCTTTTATGTCTTTCTTTCTTGAGTTTTTCATAAATTTGATTGTTAAAATCTCAGGAAGAGGAAAATTGCGAGCTCACAACAATTAAGAGAGACGTTGTCGAGTTTCATTTCGATTTCTCCAGAACGATAGAAACGACACTACAATAGAGTAACAATTTAAAAGATTTGGATAAAACTTATATCAATTTGATTAAATTGGCTTTGTACTAGAAATAGGAAAATCATATTTTTGAGTTTAGTTAGCAAATTTATTTAGAAAAAATAAAATAATTTGGTTTATTTAAAATAAATTAATTAAAAAAATTAGGGAGATTTAATTCTTCGGTTCTTGATCTAGAATCGATGAATCGAGAACCAAATCAAACCCATCAATTATTTAATTTAAGAAAAATCGTTCGATTCAATTCGAAAGTTTTGTCCAATCCAACCTAATGGAGCTCAAACAAGAAGAAATTTACAAAATTTAATATAGCTTGGCTACAGAAAAAGAGCTGGCTTGATTTGTCAACGGCTAAGAGAGTGTGAAGGACAGGACAGGTGAGTTCGGTGGCTCAGCTTATAAACTAGGGTGGCTGGTGGTAGATGGTACCCCTCTCTATCACCCACCGCATACTCTACCAGATTCCTTGATCCGGGAATTTTGGACCGTTCATTAATTATGTTCATTCAATATGTACTGACAGATTTTGCGCGTCAACGAGCACCACGTTATAAAAGCAAAAGCCACAATTTTAGAATAATACTACGTAGTACTACTGAGTACTAAGGTTGCAATATTAGTGTAAATGGCATTAAATAATATGTTAAATAAATGTAAAATTAAATGAGTTATTTAATTTTACTTATCAATTAATATCACGTTAGGACCATCTAAACTGAAGTTACAATTCCAGTGAGGCTAAATAACATTACTCACTATTTTATATTAATTTGTTATCTACTTCGGTTTTTTTTCTTTTTCCCTGGTGGAAAGCCTGACGCTTCTTAGAATTTTAGGTTGAACATTTATTAAATACGCGTGACGTGTTTTCTACATTATATTAGAGATAAGTGGACGAAAATGAGAGATTATATATGTATTCTATATTATCTATTGTTCTCAATTAACAATTTTTTTTTGATTGATCTGATTATTTTGCAATAATTACTTCTAAGTATTAGTGATTGTTACCCCGGGCAGTGCTAGATTGACTTTTTGCCTAAAAAAGACCCAAATCGCTTATAGATTCACCTGGAAATATTCATAGTTCCACTAAAGAGATTGTCAACATTTTTAACTATTTTTGGATTGTTTGAGCTCCCTTTTTTTTTTTTTTTTCAAAAATTACATTTAGCAATAGCATTATGATGAAAAATGTGTAATTAAAAAATATGATAAATTTGTGTGTAACATTTTTGGAATCAATGTTCAAAAATGCATTTTGACGGAATAAATGGAAAGTGGCTCTTTCCTATCAGAAATTTTGTGTGCACCGTGCCCTTTTTCTTGAAGGACCATCAAACGAAGATATCATTATCAATTTATACAATTAAGTACCAAAAGCATGACACGTGGAATATATTAGTTGATTTCTTTACCCGTGCTAAAAGGCAACCTATTTTGTCATCAATTTTGCGTGATTCCAGGGGTGCCAAATAAAGGTGGGTAGCCTGTTCCAAATGGCACCCCTGTCTGTCCAGGGCAACGACCTGGACGTTAAACAAAACTGATGGCAAAATAGATAGCCTTTTACTACGGGTAAAGAAATCGACTAAAAAATACCACGTGTCCTGCTTTTGGTACTTAATTGTATAAATTGATAATGATTTCTTCGTTTGATAGTTGCTTCTAAACTGTGAAGTTGAGAATCGGGTAAATCAAAAGAAAATTTGACCAACACGAGCATGAAAAGAATTGAAATTTCGATTTTACTCGTCCCATGTGTATTTGATGTTTATTACACCCTTCTCATAGTTTAATTTCTTTCCTCGAAACCATCACTATCCCACCTTACTAGATATATCATAAAAAAGCAAGATCAACTTAAAATAAATAATTTTAGTAGTTTTCGTAACATAAAAGGCAGGGCCACCTTATGTTTAGTAGTACAATAATTACAAATCAAGCAGTCAAAATAAAATATGAAAAGCGGCAACCCAGAAAATTGGCTTCACAATCACACGTCTGCTGCACAAAATTCTCAACCACACCCCTCCTATATCTCAGGACAAATAATTTGAATATACTAAGGAAGCTCTTTCTCGAGGGAGATGAGGAACGAGAAATACCACAATAGCTGGTCACACCATCTAGTATCTTTCATTTGAACTTCAATCATTCTCATGTATTTTCGTCCTTAGGCATCGATTCCAATTTCTTTTCCAACTGCAAACCACAGAAGATGATGTTCACACATTACGTAACACGTATATACAGTGCATGTTTGGCAAAGCTTAAATTTTAATAAAACTGATCAAATACATTTTTATCCACACATTCGGTAAGCATGCAATCGGCATAGAAAAATAACTAAAAAAGAGAGAGAGAGAAGCATCGGCAGCCATATTCCCTAGCAATACTTAATGAAGTTAGCGTAAAATGTTTGTGGAGCCACATGGCAAACAATGAGTAATCTGAAATCCTTTTGCCGTGGCCGATTGGATATAACAAACATTATTACGGAAGATGGAAAAATAAGCTAAAATCTTGTTCATGTATAGTATTGCATACCAAACACGAGCTTTGTATATTTTCAAGGAAATTATCATAGAGATATTGACAATTAACAGTTTTGTAACTCAATGAAACTTGAAAACCACCCAAGAACAAAAATACAACACATACATGAGTATTTTTTATCTTCTGTCTCTGTAATTCTTCAACTAGACTTCCAATGCTGAGATTCGGAAAACTGGGATCAGTTGATTAGAAAATAGTTAACAACAATGTTGCATCTTATAGGGTGTGCGGTTTAGCTTCATACCTTTGTTGCAATTGAATCACCTGAGCCTGTAACTCTCTCTCCTTATCAGCAGTAGCTCGAATCTGTAAAATGTTACAACCAGAACATTATAGAGACACCGTTTATTTCTTCTGAAACAGCAGAGCACAAAGCTCGAACCAAAAGAAGGAAACAATCATTTTTTAATTTGTAAAAGAAATAGGATAGTATAACAAGGAGTTTTTGTCAGGATATTACCGCCACTTGAACAACTTAAATCGGCGAGTTAAAAGGAAAAAAGAATACCTGTGAAAGTTCATTTACTCCTTCCTCAGAGGGCTCATTAGGATTGCCTGCACCCAGGAAAAATAGTCCATGATCAGATATAAAAAAGCAAAATATTGCCCATCACTTCCACATCCAAAAATAAAGAAGGGGGTTGAGAAAAAAGAAAACATGCGAATATGAAAATGGAGAAACATGTAAAGGGGAATGGAAGATTTGCTAAAGAAAAAAGGGGGAAAAAAATTCTAAGCTCATTAATAATATAGGAAAATGCAAGTTGTGCATTCTGTACTTCCAAAAATTTTCTATATTCAAGGCATACATTTCCCATAAAGATGAATAAGCAAGATGCTTTTCCTCCGCACATATTAGAGCACTGAATATGATTTGTTTTGAGATCAAGCATAAATGACATTACCAGAGGTTTGCTCCAAAAACTTGATCAATTTAATTATCTCTTCCTGATAAGAACAGAGTGCAAATTAGCAACTTGATAGTAGGACAGCTGTGGTCAAGTTGAGCAAAACTTACTCTTTGCATAGAGTTCTGCTGCAGGATACATTGCAATGACGGAAGAACTGAAACAGCTGCAAGGCTTGGGTTCATCGGGATTGTGGAACCTCCAGTATTTGGATTAAAGAAACAGCTCGTAGAACTCTGAATACGAGAAAGAAAGGCAATGGTTACAAAGCCACTGCCTAAAAAAATAGAAAGCTAAGTTTCGCACTTAGTTTTATTTGAAGACGAGCAAGGCAAGGGAAAAATGTCAAAAGGAGAAAAACATATTTCAGGATTAAAATTGAGAAACCACTAATTCCATTCTACTCATCTTGATTCTTTAGTTAGTAAACCTTGAAGCAACAGATTTTCAAGGACTTCATTATATTTAATGAACAATACACACAAGAAATATAACGGAAATAGTGTTACCAATTATCTTCTGAAAAAGAAGACACGAGAATAGAGGAATTAAACTAGAAGTGAAAGAACAGGAATCAATGAACATAGGCAATTTTGTGTAACTCGATAAGTCTAAATAAGATACCACTAAAATCATACCCTGGGGCTCAGATCTGCTGAAGTGACTTTAAAACGTCCCCTGCGTTGGACCACAGCACCTTCAGATACGTCTTCCCCTAAAATGCATACAACAAAACATTTAAGGAACAAAGGAAATAAATATAGTATAGTAACAAATTAACAATAAAAACAAAAAAGGAATTCAGACCCATCTAGATGAGTAAATAATTTGGTAATTTAGTCTATAAAAGAATTACCAGCTGTAGAATTACTGAAATCTTTCTTTTGACGATACTGTAATGGACCACTGTAATTCCGCTCATTCGGGTATCTTTGTCGCAGATATTCCCTTCATATTAATCAAAACTATATCACTACATCGCTGACAAAGATTTTGCAGAAAATCATGGAACAAGCAGCAAAAACTAACTTGGGAAATATATTACTAAAAAAAAAAAAAAAAAAAAAAAAACCAAAAAAATTTGACAAATTTTTAAAAAAAAAAAAAAAAAAAAAAAAAAAAAAAAAAAAAAAAAAAAAAAAAAAAAAAAAAAATT